ACGGGAAGGGCACCCCAAAAGGGACCCCCCCCCACACACACACACGAGAGCCGGCGACGGGAGGCGCAATGGGTGGCGCGCTGCCGCCACCACCATCCTCCCCGGTGCGCTCACCTTGGGGTCCTTCTCGTAGTAATGCTGCTGGGTGCGGATCCAGCGGCCGACCAGGTGGTCGCGGACGGTGTGGGCCAGGGCGAAGTAGTAGTCGCGCGGGGTGGCCACGTTGCGGTCCTTGACCAGCGTGAAGTGGAGGTGCCGGTTGAAGTTCTTCTTCAGGTCGGCCACGTTCTCCACGCCGGCCAAGCCGCGCACGCTGATCTGCTTGCGCTTCTCCGCGTCCGTCAGCGGCCGAGACATGGTGGCGGGGAGGCTCCGGCTAGGACGGGGGCTGGAGGGGCTGCTGGCTGGGCTGGAGGGCTGGCTGGCTCGCCCGGGACGGGAAGGGACGGTGCGCCAACCGGGCGGGGGGGAGAACGGAATGCCGCGCTCTTGACTTTGGCACACCAGCAAATGCGCCCCGGGCCCCTCCCCTCGGGCCTTTTTAAAGCCCCCCGCGCTGTGCATTATTCATGAGGGGGGCGGGGCGGCCCCGCCCACTTGCTCTTGGACACCTCCCCCCCAAAAAAAAAACTGGTCCAGGGAATTCGCTCGGTGGGGACGCAGCATGCGCCTCCATCAAAAACGCTCAGCCTCGGTTGCCTGGCTTTGAGTTTTTTTAGTTCGTGCGTCCTCTTTGTTTTAGTGCATTGCAAGTGGATCGGTTTTTGCGCTCAAAGGGGGGGGGGCGCGCTTGCTGGATGCCGCGCTCCGCTAAGAACCATGAGGTCTGGGTCCTTATTTGATTTGTAGGAAGGAGAGCATCGCTCGGGGACACCGGACGTGGTTTCGGCGCGGAAGGTCCCAGTTTCAGTATCCTGACACCTCCAGGGAGGGGTAGGAAAACACAAACAAACAAACAAACAAACAAACAAACAAACAAACACACACACACACACACACACACACACACGGAGAGAGACAACTCAGAACTGCCGGGTGGCTCAGCGGCTGAAGCATCTGGCTACAGAGCAAGAAGCTCCCACTTGTGCCTTCTTGTCAGGGATGATGGGACTTAACTATCCTTCCGGGTACTGCAGTTCTGTGATGATGATGAGGATGATCTGTGTTGACAACACTCAACCAGATGGCTCTCAAGAGACATGGCTGGGGAGTTTCCCCATTCCTGTTCTTTTATGCACGCCTTACCTTTCCTCCATGGAATTTATGGCACCTTCTTCCGGCCTGTTGCTCATGTCCAGCCGGTGGTGGAGATTCTGCTCACAACCTGAACCCAATCCCACGTACCGAGTTCAAGGTTCACCCAACCTTCCACGGTCAGTACTCAGAGTACCCAGCGTGCTGGGGGGGGGGGGGGAAACCAATATGTAGCCTGCATGATTAAATTATAAAACTGCCAGAGAGAGCTTTAAATGCAGTGCGGTGGTATGTAAAAGCTTTATTTGCTTTTATAGATACCCAATGACCATATAGTCAGGTCACTCCAACATAGCCTGAAGAAGATGATCATCGAAAGCTAGCTACCTACTTGATTTTTTTTAGTGGTCCAATAAAAATGATCACCTGCTCCCTGCATTGGTGTTCCATATGATATTGAGTTTCTTGGATTTTATTTCATCTTTAAAGAACCAACCTGGTATAAATGTAATTAGATAGTAGCCCCTAATGGAGAGTAGTGATGAGGCTTGAAGAGCAGGTAATTAAGGCCTCCTGGGGGCACAAGGAGCGTCTCAGAAATCCAGGCACCTGTTTTGGTCCATATCAACAAGTCAGTCCTACTTAGCAGGATTTGTTTCCACCGGGAGCAGGTCTTCGAGGAAACTAACGGGTCTTAATTGCCCATTGAGGACAACCTGCCCCCCCCAATGAGGAAAGATGGAAAGAACTGGGTCTGTTTAGCCTTGAGAAAAGAAAACTGAGGGGAGGTAGGAGAGCCCTTTTCAAATCCTTGAAAGGTAGTCCTACAGAGGAGGGGCAGCATCTGTTCTCGATCATCCCAGAGTGCAGGACACATCACAATGGGCTGTAGCGACAGGGAGCCAGATTTAGGCTGAATATCAAGAAAAACTTAACTGCTAGAGGAGTACAACAATGGAACGTCAGAAGTTGGCGAGCGCTCCAAGCCTGGAGCCATTCAAGAGAAAACTGGACAACCCTCAGTCAAATCTGATTTGGATTCCTGCCTTAAGTAGATGGTTGGACTCGGTGGCCCTAAAAACCTCTTCCAACCCCGTTCTTCTACGATTCTAAATCCTTTGAATTACAACCATGAGGATACATCACAGCTGGCAAATTTGCACCTACAGCCTTTATAGCGATGGTGAGGATTGTGGTTTCATGTCAGGTGGACATGAATGTCCCTGATCATCGAAGAGTGTTGGCTGCCTTGCCATGTTGAGGACAGATGCCCGAGGGAGAGGTGGTAGTGGTCGAAATCCCTATTACGGTGGCCATGAGTCAGGTGTAGCTTACGGCCCACACCAACAACCAAGGAAGACCAGACTTGAGATGGAAATGGAGCAAGCCATCACTTTCAGGATCTTTGCTTGAACGTTCTAGAGCTCGTGAATGAGAGAGATGGAATTACTAGCTTGGGTGAACGCTTCTTGGTTGAGAGAGTGGTCCCTGACACTTGGCCACCTCCACCGCCACGCTTCATACTCCCTAGGTTGGAAAAAAACAAACTCAACAAAGACTCATTGAGGTCCTTTCCAAAACTGGCCAGTTTTATTTGGTGTCCGCATTTATGGGCTACAGCCCTCTTCTTTGAATATACAGTGGTGCCTCGCATTGTGACATTAATTCGTTCCGCAAAAATCGCTGCAGAACAAAAATGTTGCAATGCGAAATAAAAAAGCCCACAGAAACGCATTAAAACTGTATAATGCGTTCCTATGGGCTTAAAACTCACTGTTCAGCGAAGATCCTCCATAGCGCGGCCATTTTCGCTGCCTCTAAAACGAGGAATCTGTCCCAGAAAACAGTGGGCGGCCACTTTGTTTACCTGCTGGCCATTTTGAAACCGCCGATCAGCTGTTTTAAAATCGTCGCTTTGCGATGCTCGGTTCCCGAAGCAGGGAAACGATCATCGCAAAGCGAAATTCCTCCATAGGGAACATCGCAAAGCGATTGCTTTTGCGATCGCAAAAAATGCATCGCAAAGCGATTTCATCGCTAAACGGAGCAATTGCTATGCGAGGCACCACTGTATGATGACATCTTTAAGGTGCCACTAAACTCTCTCTCTTTCTCTCTCTCACACACACACACACAAGACATGCTTATCCCAACGATTTGACACCTTTCTTCACCACTCCAGCCTGAGTTATGACGAGCAGGTGCCATTCAGCCTCCTGCTACCTAACCCGGATACCCTGCTCTTAGCACACACCCTCCTCCTCCTCCCATCTAATGGAGCGTTACCCAGTAACCGTTGGCTCTATTTTTAGCCTTTTCCTGCCCAGGGCTGGTAGAGCACCATGTGTGTCAGCAACAAAATGGCAGGGGTTTGCAGGCTGCTTGGCTCTCCGAGGGAGGAGAGGACGAGCAATGGGCTTTGGGTCTCTGAAGCTCACACGCACGTGTGCACAGACACCGACCCTTCAGATTTGTTGAGCCTGAATTCAAAATCTGTTTGGTTCACTCTTGGAAACATAACCCCGGGGAGCAAAGAGCCAAAGTAGAATGGAGTTGGAAGGGGCCTTATAAGATCTAAACTTATAAGGCCATCAGGTCCAACCTCCTGCTCAAGGCAGGAATCTAAATCAAAGTAGATCTGACAGATTACTGTATTTTTCCGTGTATAAGAATATACTTTTGTCTAAAATCTTTAGACTAAAAAGTGAGGGTTGTCTTATACACAGAAGTAAGCTGGGGAGAGAACAAAAACAAGTGGAGGGGAAAGCAGGGATCAAAGCGATCCTGCAGTGCTTTGATCCCTTTCCCCCTGCACTTGCTAAGCCCCACTTAGATTTCTTAATTTTGGATTAGAAAAGTGGGGGGCATCTTATACATGGAAAATATGGTACTGTCTAGCTTTCTCTTCGGTGTCTCCAGTGTTGGCGCTCTCACACCCGAGGTAATTCTTCATCCTCATACTGCTCTAACAGTTAAGAAGCTTTTTTTCCTTTCTGATATTCTGCCTAAATCTGGCTTCCTATTGCTTGAGCTCATTATGATGTGTCCTGCACTCTGGAATGATCAAGAACAGATCCTGCCCCTCCTCTGTATGACAGCCTTTCCAGCATTTGAAAAGTGTTATCCTATCTCCCCTCATTCTTCTCTTCTCAAGGCTAAATCCTATGAAGAATGACTAAAAGAACTAGGTACGCTTAGCTTAACAAAGAGAAGACTGAGGGGAGACATGATAGGAGTCTTCCGGTATCTGAAGGGTTGCCACAGAGAAGAGGGCATTGATTTATTTTCCACCCCATTCCGTTCCACAAGAACCAATGGGTGGAAACTCATCAGAGGTAGATCCAACCTGGAAATAAGGAGGAATTTCCTGATGGTGAGAACCGGTAAGCAGTGGAACATCTTGCCTCCCAATGTGATGGGGGCCCCATTGCTGGATTTAGATTAACGACTGTTTAGTCGTTAATTTGTGTCCGATTCTTCGTGACCCCATGGACCAGAGCATGCCAGGCTCTCCCGTCTTTCACTGCCTCCCGGAGTTGGGTCAGATTCGTGTTGGTTGCTTTGATGACCCTGTCCAACCATCTCATCCTCTGTCGTCCCCTTCTCCTCTTGCCTTCACACTTTCCCAACATCAGGGTCGTTTCCAGGGAGTCTTCTCTTCGCATGAGATGGCCAAAGTCTTGGAGCCTCAGCTTCAGGATCTGTCCTTCCAGTGAGCCTATTGACCTACCCATCTGCAATAGATTGGTTGAAATGGGTCTACTCATAACTGGGAGAAGCAACAGGATACCGGCCGGTGATTTTCAGCCTTGCTAAAATTAGTATGTCAACATCTTGAGTTTCTCACCTCCCCCCCACCCTCCTGAAAATCTAGATGATGTAAGAGAGGAAAATGTATGCTTTTGAGTTAGGCATCTTAAATGATTTATAAGTGTTTGAATAAAAGGGACTGCAAAGAAAGCTTTTGTATATAACATCTAAATTATCATGAGTCTGCAATCTTACGTCCTTCCACCAGGGAATAACCTTCTGGCATTAAACTCAGTAGTATTTGCTTCACATTCGGCATCCTGAAAAGTGTGGGTCTGGAAGTCCACTTCATGTGTGCCCCTAATTCTGGATCTCTACCTTTCATTTGGTGCATGTATCCGTTTGAGGGTTTAATTATTACCTGTAGCAATTTGGGGTATTTTTTTCCTGCTGAGAGGAAGTCTTCATTTTATTGAGAACGCAAAAGTCATGCAAGCATCCGAAGGCAGGACGC